GCTAAATAAGAGACTCTGGACATCAGAAGTAACCGTATCAGATTCTTAAAAATGGGTTCCAATTATTATAAAAAGACTTTCAATTCTGTTCTCTAGATATTCTGTTAAATATCCCACTGGGATATTTATGGTCAAAGCTAACCACATTTCTTTGGACTTTTGTCTTTTAATTATTTCAGCGATCTAAAGAATTTAGATGAAAAGCAGAAGTATTTTTGCTTTTAAAAAAAATCAGTAGAAAAGATCCACTGCTCAGCCTGCTAGTAATTTTATTTATAGAAATTCCCAAAGTGGCAGTTACTGAAATAATCTGTGGCCAACAGGCTAAAGAAAACTTCAAAAAATTCAAAAAAGTCTCCTTCCAAGAACCATATAATCACTTCCATGAAATTGTGTTTTGTAACCCCTGGGCATTGTATTGACGTGGTATGAACAAATGAGAGAAGGTGAATTACTGGAGATCTACGTATCTTCAGTAATCCACTAGGATTATAAAAAGGTGGGAGCAGAAATAATCACACATTCCAGAATGTAACCTTTTGAGTGCACTGTGAAATGGTATTAAATGGCTTTTGAAAAATATTGTAGGCTTGGAGTCAAACTTCTTATTTATGACCAAAGCTTTTCGTGAAAAGCATTTACATTACTGTGTAAACTCTGAACTTCTTGAGTTTACACTGTGCGCTGTACTGCTGTAGTGTAGACAGTTGCTACAGTGACAGAAGGTTTTTTTTCATCACTGTAGTTAATCCATCCCCTCAAGAGGCCATAACTAGGTTGATGGAAGAACTCTTCCATTAACCTAGCATTGTCTATACCAGGATTTAGATTGGTTTAACTACATCTCTTGTGATGTGCATTTTTCATACCCCGAGCGACGTAGATAGGTCAACCCAAGTTTTTTAGGTGTAGATAGGTGTAAAGGGGTATACTTTAATGACCATAAAGCCCTTGTACATGCCTTGTCAATTTCAAACTGACAATTTCAAAACACAAAGAAATCCCTTTACAAATTACATTTAAGTTCTGTGCTTACTAAATGCCTGCTCCTGCTCCGAGTGAAATAAATGCTAAAGTGCCATTGACTTCAATGGGGCATATATAAATCCATTATAATTGCCATATGACATACTAGAAGTGGGATTTAAGTACTGAGCTGAACTGGGACTAGTATGCCTAATGTCAATTAGGAACTTTAACTAAGATCAACCTTTCAACTCCAGCACAAGTTCCTACCTATGAAAGTTTTAAATTAGAGAGAAAGCATAAATCCTTGGTGGGAATGGGACTGGCATTTCCACTCCTACTTTACAATCCATTTACAAGTAGCTGTATGTTGTTATACAGTGTTAATGTTGAGATTTTAATTACACAAGAATTGGGGAAACTAGGAATTCAGGTTCCCATAGCAACCTTGATTCTTCCTCTGATATGTATACCCTACAGTAGGGGGAAAATGCATTTTCTATTCAACTACTCCTCCAGTAAGACTATACAAACAAGTTGAATTGTGTGTTATGTTTAAACTGCCTTTTTATAAGATTATATACATTTTGAGCAGGACTTTTTTGCACTATTAATTCTTTATTTCTTTACAATATGATCTAAGCAGTATTATTACTTATCTATCTCTATAGTTGTGCCTGGCACATTACAGGATAGATAAAGGATTCCCCATCATGAAGAGCTAACAATCAGGAGGATACTGGAATGAATTGGGGGAAAGGGAAAGATGACGGTAAGGATAAGCATATAAGGAAAGTAGGATGAATAGGATTCCTACCAGAAACGGGCTTGAAGAAGGAGAGGGTTACTTCATGGACAAGTGGTGAGAGAATGATCCAAACTTAGGGGACAATATGAAAGACTGTATAGCTGAGGGTAGGAGAAGAGAAAGGGAGCAGTAAGAGGAGAGGACTTGGACAAATGTGGCATATCAGAGGAGCAAAAGAACACTAAGTCAACGATATAGGTGAGAGTGAGCTTGTGCAGATCATTGAAAGAGAGAATCTTGAATCTAATGATCCAAGAGACAAGAAGCCAGTGAAGGCATTCAAAGGGGCTGGGATGTGTGCCGTGACTGAAACAGATTTTTGCAGAAGCCCTTGTTAAATGTTGGCAGTCAAAGGCACCTGTGTCGACTTGACTATCAAGTCCTCAAAAATGGTTGGTTGGACTTTCTTCAAACTACCGCTGACACAAACTTCACCTGTGAATTAACAAGTAGCATGACAAACTTGAATCCCAAAGATACATTTAAGTGGCTTATAACAGGGTCTTTAGAACGAAAGCACAGTCTCAACAGTAGTCAGCTTAAAGACCGATAATGCATAAATGCATTCTGGCAAACAAAAAACGATCGCAAAGGCAGAGGTGAACATTTTCAGAAGTAAGAAAGGGACTCACAGAAGTAAGCATTTAATAAAAGATTCTTTTTTCCCCTTAGGTTTCTTGGTGGAATGAATTTCCACCCCATCACAAACTGGCAACTCCTGTATCCCATAACAGTTGGGCTAAGAAGCTTATATATATATTCTAAGAAGAATATATATATTTTTTGTAAGTAGCATTACTTGGGGCCTGAAAGTATCTGTTTTCTGCACAGGAGATATTTGTGTTTTTCAGACAGTGGGTCCCATTCTTCCCAAACTGTTCTCTGGGTGTGAATGGAGATGATGTGACAAAGACGGCTTAAAGCCAACTTTGCACGGCCCCCTGTTTAAGTTGAGAGCAGCCTAGATGCTGCTCTCAATTTATGTAGACTTTTGCAGCAACTAAGAATCCCTGAAGTACCTCATGCTCTGGTTATGCCACTACTACTACGGGCTGCCAGGGCACAGAGCCATTCCAATTCTCCAGCAGCAGTGGGACTACGCTCTAGTTCCAGCTGCTGCCGGTGCTTTCATTGTCGCTGGGAGGCCCCACCACACAGAGAGTAGCAAGGGAAATAACTTCCTGCACAAAACTCCAAACTGTCAGCAGTCCAACTAAGCAAGCAAATTCACCTCCTGGGTGTGAAACCAAACATGGAGCGTATTTGTCTAAACATTGAAAAAAAAATAATTATACACAAATGAAAACAGTAAGTGGAATGGAAAGCCCTTGAACTCACCAATAGCATTTCCTATCATGAATGCTATTATACACAAACTTTTATAACAAAATAACTCAACTTATTATAAAACAAACATGAAAGCCTCCAGCCTCCCATGTATTCATCTCTGGAGAAGCACTTGGTAACAAATAATGGAGTTGTATTCTGCCCTCGCTCTCTTTGGGCTGGAGTCAAAGAGTATGGGCTGATTCCAGTAACGTCAATGCAGCACTTGATGCCATTCAAGGCATCTTACAGATTCATCCCAATTTAAACCAGAGGGAGTTCGGAGCAAATCACCACTACAGCGGGCCATTAAGACGGTGATAACTCAGATACCAGAATAATTCACAGTAACACAAGTATGAAAAGTGACAAGAATGTATTTAAAAAGAAAAGTCTGGAAATTCAGTTATATACTGAAGACTAGTGTTTACCTCTTCCATCGAATGAGAATCAATCACTGCAGTTTTCCTTTAACAAGTGAAACATGTTTTTCCCCCCTCCAGTACTTGCTGAAGGGATTTTTATAAAGTTTACCAAAAAAATTCACTTCAGCACTGAGTGTATGAGACCTCATTTGAAAGGTGGTAAGGTTTTTTGAGGGAATTACGAAAATTGCAGGATCAGGGTCTTAACTCTATGCATAATGTGTGGTTGGATGGCTGTGCCCACCCAGAGCCCTCATGGGGCCTGTGTGAGGGTGCAGTAGTCCACCTGCATGCTGGATGCTCCAAAATTAGGGCTGCACAGTGAAAATGCTTTCTCAGTCCTGTGACACTGTATTTATATAAACTGTAAAATGAATTACTCCCAATTGCCCTGAAGTAAAGTGCTTAACAGCCACTGACCATAGAGGGGAGAAGTATACATACTGGGTATGCATCTAGCATTTATACTTATAAAAATATCATGCATAATGAAAACTGTGTAAATATTTATAAAAATACCTTTGTGTAAGGTCTGTAACATATTTAATATTTTCAATCAATTCACATGCAGTGCTTGCGTGTCTGTGCCAAATGTAACATTTGGAAAAATGAACCTTTAGTAAAACTGTCAGAAGAGTTGTGTTAAGTTCAGGTAGCTGCCAACAATAACTTCTGGGAGCATATCATTGGAAGAAGCCAAACAATGCTGGGGTCTCTATCAGAATTAACTATGGCACTTGTAAAAATATTATCATTTTAGTATTTATGGACTTCCTATCCCATAACCTGCGGGACTCCCAACAACTATTTTCTTAGTTAACATTCTGCTTAAAGCATTTTTGCTTTCATCAAATAGATGGAGTTTCCTTTTAAATCTGGTGTTCAAAATGATCTTGGTTGTGAGAACTCCTAACAAACACAGAAGTGTCTCTCTAAAGCATGTTTATACCTTTGGGCATAGCAAAAGCCTGAGCTCCGTTGCCAATTCTTGCTATGTTTGGGGTTTTTTTCTCTTAAAATGCCAGCTCCTGGACTGATGGCACTCCATGCAAAATCTCACCACTCCTTTAAGACAAAATGGTCTCCCCAGCCCTCCTGGTTGCAGAGAAAATCTTGCAATCCTGAACTGTAAAGAAGCAAAAATCAGGAAGCAAATGAAAAGAACCCCAAATGTGGTTTCAAATTCATTTTCCGCAGCCAATCTTGATTTTGGGGGGAGGGGGGAGAGCTCTCCTGACTGATTGATTTTGAATGCCTGGCATTAGTTCAGATGCAGCTCTAACTAGGGAGCAGTTAGCAATGCCTCCATAATGCTGCGCAAACTAGCCATCATGAGATGTATTTAAAATCAAGTGTGTCTTGAGTGTATTCCAGCCAGCCCTGGGCTGTGCCAGGTTTTCAGTTCAGCTGCAGTTTGCCTCACACCAGGGAGCTGCCTAGCGCCCAGTCCAACCCTCTGCAAGCACGTGGGCTTAGCCCTGAGCGGTGCCGGTGTGAGCAGACACCCAGGCTCCAGAGGGAAGCGTTGGCCACGCGCAGGACGTGCTGCAGCCATCAGGCTTGCAACAGCCTGTGGATGCTGCTGCTGCTTTCTCGCCTGCAGCCTCTGGGGACGAGCAAGGCGCAGACTAAGGCGTTTCCCATCCAATGCACCAGCCCGGAGAAGGGGGAGGGCGCGCAGGGGAGGGAGCTGCCGGGTGACAGGCGGTCACAGGTGCTGCTGTTGCCTCTGAGTCACGGGAGAGGCGTCTCTGCGCCCCAACCAGCTGCTGCTCCCCCCCCCCCTCCCCCAGGCTGCTGCGGCTGCCAGCCCAGGCAGAGCCAACTCCTCACAGGCGGCCTTGCTTGCGGGAGGAGCAGCCACCGAGCCGCGCAGCCGCTGGGAAGGAGCTGACGCCCTGGGAAGCCGGTAAGTTGCTGCGCACAAAGATCTGCGTCCCCAGCCCCTGCATGAGCCTCCTGGCCTGGCAGGCAGGTGGTTTGCAGGCAGCGGGCGTTTTCTTTCCCTTGCATGATGTGGAGATTTCGTATTTTGGGCTGCAAGCGGCGGCAGGGCGGGTTTGTAAATACTAACCCCCAGGGAGCAGCACTCCCAAGGCGCGAGCGGGGCACAGTTCTGCTCTCAGAGCTGCTCGGGGCATCGCCCCTCGGGTAACCGGCTTCCCCTGGGCATGTCCAGTGAGCCCGGATCCGCCCCATGCAGCAGGACTCCAGTGTTCTGCTGGGGGTGCGCAGGGCGAGCCAGCTCTGCCCTCAGGGCTGCCCGGTGCAATGCGACTAGTGATCCTCTTCTCCTTCCTCCCTGCAAAACAGACACAATTCTGCTCCTTCCCAGAGCCACCCAGTCCGTCAGGGCTCAGCTTTCCCGCTTGCCCTCTCCCTGTGAAACAGGGCCAGTTCCGCTCCAACAGGCGGCCACCTGGCACATATCTGCTCCCATATTCTGCAGCATGTGCGTGAAACGGGCACAGTTCTGCTCTCCCCGTGCATCTTGGCTGATACTTTGCTCTCCACAGGGAACAACTGGCAAAATTCTGCCCTGGGATCTGTCTACCCAGCGCAGCGTGGCTCTTCTATTCTGCCCTTCTGTGTGCACAGAGTGGGCAAAATTCTGGGCGTGGAGCTGCCATAAGCATCACAGGTTTTTTTTTTTACTCTGCTCTCTCAGGAGCCGATTACAGGAGTCAAGATGCAGTGTGTTTTGCCATAACACTTGGCAACTTAGAACAATTGCACTGAAACAGCTTGGCTACTGTCTGAGTTAATTTTTAAAAAAAGCTGTCAATTTCAGTGACTTCAAAAATTAGCATTCAGACAGACAAATGTAATCGATGCAATTTATTACTGAAGGTGATACCTGGTTTCATTTCCTACTTTCAGAGTCACATATTTGAATAAAAATAGAGTGGTGTTGGGTTTTTTTGTTTCTTTTTGGCAGGATGTCATTTTTGCAGTGCAGTTCTGGATTGGGTCAGTTTAAAAATAAATATCTACTTGAATGCTGCATTTCTGAATAGCTACGTAGCTGTGACTTGAATGCATCAAAGCAGAGTACTCAGCTGAAAAGAGAGCCTATGGTACAGTGTAATATGGATTGTCTGACAGATTGTAAGTCAGGAACTCACCAAAGGGGTTTATTAGGATGCTATCTAAAAGTAAAGCTGAGGTAAGATTTTGAAAAAAATTATTTCACATGAAAATAAAGTCCCAAATGCAGGAAGCAATTAGTGGAAGAGTTCATCACTGTAGATTGTAGTTGTGATTTAAAGGTATTTAGAATCTTAATATTTATAAAATATTGTTTCATTTAACTAAAATGAGCTTGAGCTTTTACTTTTCTTTGAAAGCATTTGGGAAATTGCTCCACTGTCACCAATCATTTCAGTGGGTCATTCATTATTCCTTGCTAAATGTGGATTAGAGAGGTATACAGGGAACAGTATGTTTGAATAAACAATTAAAAGCATGAATTTAAAAACAATTGAAAACCTTAAATGGATGATTCCTAAAACTCATCTTCATTTGAAATCTTAATGAGATCATTCTTATAAAATGATTGTGCTTCACTTAGGATTTTTTGAAACATGGTACCAATAGGGGAATTGTGGTTCTCAGTGGATCTCCAAGAGCAGGATTTTGTGCATTCTTCACAGGAAAAGAAAGCACAATATTGGAATCCAAAATGTCACCTGGGTGACTGCAGAAATATAAACGTGTATATAGTTAAATGATTACTATGTTGCAAGGATTTTATTTTTAAATGGTGTTATGAAGGACCTAGGTTTTTTTACTGTGTTCATATTTAGATTTATGTTCTCACAGCAGCATGTTACAAGTAGCATTTATAGCACTGGTATTTTGAAAAGTGACTAAAGTAGATCTATACTGCCAAAATATTCTTTGATTTGAGCATTTGTTTCTACATTGGAATATGCTGGAATAAATTGGTTTTTAAACAGGTTTTTTTTTTTTTTTTTTTTTTTGTCTCTCTTCAGAAAAATAGTAGAGTCAGATTTTCCCTGGCCCTAGAATGGGTGAGCAGTGTAGAGAGAGGAGGCTTCACAGGGTCCATCCTCTGCACAGATCAAGGAAAATTACAGTCCTCACTCTCACGAGCTCAGCGAGAGTTCACTTGTGCACTGTCAGGAGTACACATCACCCCCAAGAATGAGGGGACACATAGCTGTGGCTCCCCCTCTCACCCCCCCCATTACAGCCTTCAAAGCAGGCCAAATGTGCCAGGAGGACAGGGGTCTGGAGTTTGCAGCCTGGGGGGAGAAGAGGGGAGAATTATCTTTTTTTAAAGTGCAGTCTCAACCCAAGCTTTCCCTGGGGCATTGTGGCTCTGCACTAGCCCTTCAAGTGATGTGGCTACATACTGCAATCTAGCACCAAAGAACTGTTTTAAAACTCTTCCAAACCACTTGTATCAGCTCTGATGTGACCAAGTAAAGCCATCGGTTTGGCAAACAAAACTGTTCTTAGGGTTTTTTTTTTTTCTGTAAACCAGAGCAACATACTTAATAATCTGTTTCAAATAAAATGTCTTCCTTATGGGTGAAATCCTGGTCCCCGAGCCCAAGTCTTGAGTAGGAGTTTTGTACAGGGAAGAGTTTTTTTTCTCTTCATGTCTCGTTACCAAGTTCAGAGCACCTTCCTGGCTCGCTCTAGTTCTCCTCCTTTTATTTCTCCTTTTCAATGAGGTGGTATTCCAAAGGATCAAGAGAATTCATAAACTCGCTGTCCATGCGTCTACCACGCTCCCGTTCTGCCATGAGTAGAACTCCTGCTGCACGGGGACTGCAGAGTCCACTCTGTGGCCTCTTCGTATCCTGACTCCACTGCACAGCAGAAGCACAGTGTTTGTGCTACTGCAGGATTTGATCTAATTGCACAGCTAGTGATGCAAACGTAAAGTAGTGAAAAAAATGCAGCAAGAATTATATTACCCTCGAAACAGCCATTGCCCTTCTCTGGGGGTTCCCAGGTTATCCTGAATGGAGTCACTCTGCCTCCTTTAGAGTGGCCTTACAAGGGCACATCTTCACTGCAGAGTTAACTCTGGGTATTGTCAGCTTGGTTAGTATAGCCCAGGTGTGAACAGTCACGCTGCAAAGCCCGCTGCAAAATTACTGCATCCTCACTGGTGCGCCACTCAAGTGTGTCGCTAGGACTTATGGGGCATGTGCTGCAGTAAATGGTGCCGCTCTGATTCTTTCCCAGTGGATTGTGAAATAACTTGTCTGTCCTTCTGGGCACAGGGGGGCAGGGACATGAACAAGAGAACTGTCAGCCCTCAAGTGACTTTTTTCCTGCATCCTCACTGAAAAATGGATGAGTTACCAGCCCAAGTGAAAGCAGCCCCTGAGGTGTAACCCACTCTTCCAGCTAAGCCAGAATTTAAGCACTGCAAAACTCAGGTGAAAGGGTTTTTTGTGTGGATGGGAGAGAGATTAGAGGCAACACTAAAATAAGAGCCCGAGTTTGCTCTGCAACGAAGACCGCACGAGGGAGGACACAATAACACAAATGTGCCCTTGCTGTGGGAACGCTCACACCAGGCTAGTCTAACCCATTTGCCAACTCTATAGTGAAGACATACCCTAAAATGTGAATCCATTTCAGTATGCTTTTCAATGGGCCTACTCCTTTATTTAATGTTATTAATTGTATTTTTGGATGCCCTACTTGAGGTAATCATTACTTCCAAAACCTTGCATTGAATTTAAAATAGTATTAAGCTCATCACACTATTAATCCAACATGGGACTCTTACAGGAATCGGGTATAACAGAAGCAATCTTGGAGTAGGCAAACAACAGTGATATTTTTGTGGTTTTGGAAGTAACTCAGTGACTTTTGCAAAACAATACAGATTGAGTTAGTATACAAAAATGACAGGGAGCTAGAGAGCTAGCCAGGGTGATAAGAGGAACTTTATGCTGCCATGGGATAAATCCCCAGGTATTGCAAGCTAAGCATTCGTTTTCACACTAATACTATTTGAGTCCACAAATTATTAATTACATTTATAGGCAGCCTTTGCCTTTGGTGGTGTCAGTGAGCTGGAAAGGTTTTTCTTCTTAAAAGTCTAGGAAATGATATACAAAAACCTATATTTGCTAGGACTGCACATTCTAGCACCCAAAGGCCCAAGAATGCAAAAGTTATAGTTGAAATACTCAACTTAAATTTTACCTTCTTGCATGTACACAGTGATCATTTTATTGAAGGTATATGCTACATCTTTGCCTACGGTTGTAGAAGAAGCTGCTATAATATATTGGTCAGAAAACTTACGCAGTCTCATACATATAAAGATAGCATGACTGTGCATGCAATGGGATAGAGTTAAGGGGGTGTGTTCAACCTTAACTTTTACATTAGATGCAATGTAGATGCTTAACTATATGCTCTTAATGTTGCATTAATGTTGTATGCTTGCATTTAATTGGGAAGAAGTTCAGAAATTCTGTTTCACTACCTTGATCACTATCAGAGGAGGTAGTAAAGGCATTCTCTTTGCAGAACAAGTTTAGATAAGACATTAGATGAAGTGATGGAGGCAGTTATCTTGCTGAGGGTCAGACTGGGTGATACAAGTGATCTTTTCTGTGATTCTATGCCATTGCAAATAGTGACTGACCTTCTGTAGAGATAAAATTGCTGATTACAAGCTGAAGTCATCCAGACTGAGTTTCTCATCCAAGCTTCGCAGAAGCTGTCCAGATGTACTTTTATGGCAGTAAAAATATTTTAAAGGTAACATGCAAAGCATTTTTTTAAAACTGGGTTTGTTCACTCATTTTGTGTGGTTGTTTTTTTTTTTTATGGTGTATAAAGAAGGGCTAAAAAGCAGTAGGAGTTTTTTTATGTTTTTATCTTAGAAATATTTGAAATATCAAGTCTGATCTTCATTGAGATCCAAGAGAAATCTTCCAGCAAAACAGAGCATGTGTATTATGAGCTCTTGCATCTTAATGGCAGAACTGAGGCATTGAATCTTTAATCACAACATTCTTTCTCCGAAATGTTAATTGGACATTGGTGTGAAATCTTAACTATAAGAAACAATATAAAACAATCTGACTAAAGAATGTTAATATTGTTCCATGTGAATTGTTTGATGGCTTTTAAAAAATCTGGGAAGTTAATTACAAAAATTAGATTAAAAGAATGTTAAGGTTGCAAAAGTTAGGAAGTGCCAGAATTAAGGTTGGTTGTTACCTTAATTTGATTCCCTTGTGCATATTTACTATAAAACCATCAGTCATAACATAATCTCATACTATTTTTCACCACAGGACTTCACCTCATTCAGTGCACAATGAATGAGGCCAGAAGTCTCAAGAAGAGAGAAGATATTTTCTTATTTTAAGGTACTGGGCCAGGAGAGCTGAGTTCTATTGCTAAGCTGCCACAGACTTCCTATATAGTGTTGAGTACCACTATCATAATGTGTATGCACAATGGGGCCGAATTAAGGTTGCATAGGAAACTTTAATCCTGGCATTTCCTAACTTCTCATTCCTTGACTTTGCAATCTTAACATTCTAATTTTGGATTTTTTCATATGTAATTTTAATTATGAAGAATTTTGAACATCATAAGACTTTACTCCTGCTTCTTGCACTATCCAGCAAGGGGATCAAAGGAGTTTCCCTGCCACTATCACCAGCTGAGAATTCTTCTAAGCCAGTTGTAAAACCAACTCTGTAGATAGCAGTACTCACTTTTCTCCTGATCCACCTGGGAAGTCAATCAAAGACACCTGTGAGGATAGGAGGAGTACTGCTTTAGATCTGTAATGACCCAGGGGGAGGTGCTAGAGCAGACTTTAGGTTTAAGCTCTTCAGTGAAGCACAGGCCAATGGTGGACCAAATAGCCATTATTCTTGTAAAGTTCCTTGTTCAGTGCTGAAAGGAAGTGACTCTGACTCACGTGAGAGGGCCTACTACAAGAGGGGCTGTAAGAGACAGTTGATTATTTCTTTAGTACTTGGGAGGTGCTGAGGGCATAGACATATTTTAATTTTAGTTTGGTTATTGGTTTTTGTTTGTTTGTCCCCCTCCCCCATGTGTATTCATGCCTTTTTTTAAAAACTTAATAAGAACAGCTATACTGGGTCAGATCAGTGGTCAGTCTAGCTCAGTATCCTGTCTTCC